AGAATTACTGCTCTTAGAATTGTCTCGGATTATCGGACTTCACTATGTAGTATATAAGGTAGATACTAGCTTGATGTCTCAATAAGAGAGAGTACTTAGGGCACTCCTGCTACGCTTGTTAAAAGATATCTTCTCTAGCTATCTGGCTTGTCTTCCACTTAATACTAGTTGCCTTAGAATGTGTTCTAATGCTCTGTGATCAGTATACTAAAAGAAATACGTTCCTTGTAGTAGATTCTTGTGTCTTAGCATAGTTTCTACTCCTGCTAGTAATTCTACATCATGTACTGGGTAATTCTGTTATGTAGGGTTTAATTTTGCTGAGAAAAACACTGCTATCTTGGAATCTTTCCAATCATGACCTTGGCTGACTATTCCTCTAATTCCTGAAGCTGAAGTGTCTGTAACAATGTTGATAGGTGGTACATTCTTACTATAGTCTAATACTACTCTGTGATTATGTCTGAAATCCAATACTAGCTTTACTATTTGATCAAACACTTACTGTTCAGTGAATGTCTATCTGAAAAATACAGTTTCTCCTGCAATTTTTGATAAAATACCTGTAGAAATGTGTAACTGAGGTATATTGGGTACTAAATACTCTACTGATCCTAAGAAACCTTGTAACAAATCTTTATTAGTAGGTACTTTCCATTGTTGAATAGAATTGACTTTATGAGGGTCCATTCTAATGTCTTGATCATTAATAATGTGGTCTAGTATCTTCAATTCTTTCTGGAACAATTGCATCTTATGTTTACTGAGGTAGAATTTCTCCTTGTGTAATATATCAATGACAGTTCTGAGATGTTGCATATGATCCTCAATTGTGTCTGAATAAATCACTAAGTCATCTAGGTAGATATCCATCCAGTCACCCAAGTAAGGCTGGAAAATGTAGTTCATTAATGCTTGATAGGTGGCTCTGCTATTACAATCACCTAATTGCATTACTTCACTAACCATTGTTCCATCCAGAGTGTTGAATATCAATCTGTTTACATGCTCAGGGATTATTCTAATCTGTTCATACATGTCTTTACTATTAATGAGCAATTTATACTTCTTGGAAGCTACTCTCCTTAATACTGATTTGATATCTAGTAAAGGAGATGATAGTTTCTTGGTATTCTTGTTGCACTCTCTAAGATCAATGATGGTTCTCAATTGTATATGGTCTTCCTTAGTCTTTCTAAGCTTTTGAAGTAGTAGCATAGGTATTGCATTCGATCCTGTAACTACTTTCCATCTTCCTGATTGAATATAGTCCTTTCTCTTGTTTTGCCATTACTCTCTCAAAGGATCTGGACAAGTTGCCCTACAGAACTTGTATTTCTTATCCTTATCTAGGAGTGGTATACTATGATTAATGGCTCTGAGAGGTGGTAGAGGTGTTTCCAAAGTGTCTTTGAACAAATCCATAGTATATTACTTGATTTCTTGTCTACATTTGTTAATTTCTCAATCATAAGTATTAATAACCTTTAATGAAACGACTGTGACTTGTTCTCCTGTTATTAGTAGAGGTATTGTACTTTCAATCCATAGTCTGGGCTCATTGAAACTGATAGAAATCTTGTGCTGGAAGAGGAACAGTGTTCCTAGTATAATATTATAGTTATCCAAATTCATGATATCAAAGTGCTGTATTGCATTTATCTCTCTGTATTGTATTCTAGTATTGGTACAATAGTTTACTTTCAATCTAGAGCCTTGTACTACCAATTGTATAGGTAGAGGTTTAGCTAATGTGAGTTTCCTAATGCCTATTTGGTCTGCAAACTTGGTGGACATGAAATCTGCTAATGATCCTGAATCAATTAATACTCTTACTAATTCTCTATTGATTTTGATTGTAATTATGATAGGACATGGTATTGATCTCTTAAAGTCCTTAGCATAAGCTGTAGTATACTCAATTGTATTAAAATTGTTGAAGTTAGTAGTCATAGTGTGGATTTGTACAGGTAAATCATGCATATATGCTCTATTTCTAGATATAGAACACAAGTCAATGTTTTCCATGCTTGCAACTGAATACATTGGCTCAAACAATTCAGGATTAAAGATATCCTCTATCTCTAATAGTTCCTAATGATTGTAAACGTATTTGGCTGAATATTGAGCTTGTCTGAGTAGAGAATACTATTCTCTGACATTAAATCTGTTCAGAAAAGTGATTTTAACAGGTAATGTGTACTCATTTCTGTTCTCCCAATTGTCTATAATTGTAAACTGTGTATCTGTACTTCTGAAAACATAGAATTGATTGTGTAGATACTTATTCTGAAGTCTTCTGTTGTATTTCCAGTCAAAACAGTACAGAATTCCTTCCATAAGACATCTAGTAATTCCAAAACATACTGTATCATTGTATTCACTGTAGAAATAGCCATTTCTGTAGATTGATCTCATTCTCCTCTGATTTCTCTTTCTAAGTTCAGAATTTACGAGGGGAATCTTCAATTCCAAAGTGTCAGAAGAGGTTTGTAGCTTCAAATCCAATTGTTCTAGACCAAATACTTGTAAAATGGTATTGTAACCAGCTAATGAATTGTAATTCTCATTCTTCTGAGTTGTAGACTCATAACTATCGTCTGGATAATGTATCTGAATAGTCATAGATTGTATTTGCAACGTAGAAGATGATGGATCCATTGTATTGTCTACTATAAGATCCAAATCCAAGTAATTATTGTCTTCCAAAGTATTGGTTAACTTATCTAGAGCAGAATAATTGATATTAAC